TAAAGAGTTGACTAAGCACTGGTGTCCAGCTCCTGGAGAAGGCTGACTACTGGGATCTCACCTAGAGAGTCATCTCTCCAATCAGCTGCACTGGGAAATACTTAAGTGCCTCAGCCTCTATCTTCTCTTCCCTTTCTGGTGTTTTAATCTTAATTAGTTTGGTTACCCAAATGCTGTGTCTAGAGCTTGGTGCAGAAAATTTCAGGGGCAGCAGGCTGCATGCACTGCAATGGTAACAGAGTAAAACCAAGTATTTCCAGCAAGCCTCATCACTGTCTTCTGATTACTGTCCTACCCATACTGCAACTTGCCTCCAAATTTGGCTATAGCTGCTCCAGGTAGGGTTTTTGCTAATCATGCAGTTATAACTAGCACTTCATGGCAACAGCATATCCTCCTCTTTGGGGGTTTAGGTAGCCCATAGTCATCTTCTAGTAAGTGAATCAGAGTTCTGCATTTTTGCAGTGTGTTTCTTACTCATCCTTTTGTAGAAGTTTGGTGACTCCTCCTTCCTCTTAGGTCTGCATGTCATAGGACAGCCCCAAATACAGCTGCAGGAGTGCTGCTGGGCTCTGCCTCACCGAGGCAAAGAGGCCGTGGAATAGATAGATGGATGTGCTAAAAAGCACCAGTGACAAACACCAGCAAGACAGATGAAGTTTGTGTACCTACACGTTACAGGGGAGAAAGTAGTTAATAGTTCAGTTCTAAGATTACGTTCAATTAGTTACAAAAAAAACCCCATAGAAAGTCTGAAAGCAATGTCTTTTCACAATTGAAAATAGCATTGCTACTGTTTTATCTTTTTTTTTTTTTTTTTTAATTAGCAGAGGAGGAGGGCAGGCAAAGTAGAAGGGTTTAGATTCACGGCCAAGTTCCCGTTTGCCAACAGGATAGCAAAAACAGTATTATAAATTGTGTTTTGCACAATGTATGTCTCAGGTTCTAATAAATATACAATAACTTATCCCCTAAATCAGTAAAAAAACCAGGCAAGTACTGACTGCAAGTAATTTTGTTCCATTTAATTATCTTCCAAAAACGTACCACAAGGTTCAGGAGCTTATCTTGCTAACACGAACCTCGTCAGCTCCCCTTTGAGCTGACTCCAGCCCTGTAGCTTTGATGCTTGCTAGGGCTGTGGGGCATAGAGCTGAGCAGATTTCTCAGGGAAATATTGTGTACGTGTGCGTGGGGGCAGCGGGCAACGACTGTGGTCTCACTGTAGCTTTTTGCAACCATTTCCAATGTCACAGTGACCTGCAGTTATTTGGAAGGGAAGTTTCCAGCTGCAAGCATCTTTAATTTGCAACTCTTATCTACTCACTGAAAGAAGCCTGCTGGGACTGGTATGCATCCCTATTAACAGTTGTGTGAATGCTTTTTTTTTTAATATTTTTTAAATACTCAGTTTACATGACACTTCTAATCTCATGACGATTACATAGAAATTCCAGTTAGGTTTTGCCTTTCACAGCTAATGAGTGCTACTAAAACAATTTTTACACTTAAGCAATGGGATGTGTAGAGTGGAAGCCGAGATGAGTCAGCAGTGAGCTAAGGTTACGTGAATAGCAATACAAACCATGCCTGCCGCTAGGAAACAGCCCACAAAGGTCATACCAAGTGCCTAGTATTTAGCCGCTACCACCCTGGTGATACGAATTCTCTTAAGACTCTCAGGGTTTTTAGACCAAGCATCATTCTATTTGACATTTGGATGTTGGTGTATTCAACACCCACTACTTGGTATCTGGATGAGAGGGAAGAACGCTTGACATCACCAGCGCTATTCACGGCGAGGCACGCCTGCCACGTTGACAGATGCTACCCTCTCCCCATCTAGGGGAGTTAGGCACTAAAATTAGTAACTATTAAAACAAACGTACTGAGTACGGATCTGCTGAATCCCATCAACAAGAAATACCGAAGAGAAGGTAAGGAGTCACCACTGCTCTTTCTATGGGAGTCAGGGCTGTGATCCACCAGGAGGGACAGCACAGCATACAAAATGACTGCCCCCGGCACAGAGGTAGCCGGGGTGCCCGAGGATAACCAGGTGCTGAGCCACAGCATCTTACAGCGCACCACGTTAAAGCAGAGCAAGGGTGGTGACAACCTTTACAAGTAATTACCTACACTGGCAGGGAGTGTGAGTAGGGGGGGCGTTAGGCCAGATACAGGATTTGCGAGACAGTTCCCTGGTGAGGCACCGCTTCTCACAGGCGGTCCTGGAAAGGAAACAGTCTATAAGCTAAAACTCACTTAGAGTTCAGCTCTGTTGCCTTCACGATGAGAAGAAACAAGCCTATCAGCTCCACTTGTGAATCACAGCTTTTGGGAACATCACCTTGAAGACCAGGAAAGAGTCTTTCTTCAGGTAGAATTGATCTCTTTAATCCCTTCTGCCGGGATCACTGCCTAAGCTCCTTCATTTGCCAAAAAAGAAAAAGGAGGGGAAAAAAAAAAAAAAAAAAGAAGCACAATAAGAAACACAGCTGCTTGTGATGGTTCCACCCTCCCTTATTCAATTGTTCAGCAGTTTAACATTCAGCCTGAATGTTGCAGACCTACTTTTAATTCTCTCTTCTCGCCGAGAGGGTTCAAGGCCACTTTGTTCCAGCCCTCCACTCAAGTGACCTAGCTACAAAACAACTGAATTAATAATAATAAAAAGAAAAAATAAAAGGAGAAAGACATCCCACCATAAACGCCTTCATGTTCTGCTGACCCACTTCAGTAAGAATACTTGCAGACTCTGTGTGGCTTCTCACCGAGACCGATTTTGCCAGGACTGAGAACTGCGGTTATTCTGTAAAACCAGTGTTACTGGTTGCAGACAGACACAGACTTTACAGCACCTTCTGCATCAGCGGTGAGCGGCGCTTTAAAACTTCTTTGTAAGAGAAATCTCAGGCCTCTGGATCACCCACCAAAAGTCCGTTTTTATCGATCTGACACGTTTGTATCAGCACATTAAATGCCATTAAACTTGAGAGGGTAAAACAAAGCTTCTCCCACAGGCAAAGCTAAGAACAATAGCAGTGGTGAACTACAGCTGGCCATCGCAAGACCAAAGGGCATATAGGCGATGCTATACAGCAACACAGCCCCGGCCCATAAGCAAGAACTGGGATTTAACAATTGGCAGTTATTGCTATAGGTAAATACCAGCTGCCTCACTCTGAGCCTCAACAGTGTAGCTTATATCACAGGCTTTAGTCTTTCATATGTAAACAAAGTTATGCAAATATATAAATTTGAATGTGGGGTAGTTTTTCAAAGCTAATCTTTCACAGTGACAGGAGCACTTACTGAGATACCGAGAAAGGCACGAGCAGTACACCTGCTTTGAGTAACAAAGGCAACCTGAACTCCTGTAGAAAACTAGTCTTTTTTGAACATACACCACGTGTGTTTGTACAGACGTGACTGTAACAACAGCTTGCAGGTACCTCTTTTGACTTCCTTTTGTAATGAATGAATTTGATTATAGAGCCAAAATTCAGTGGATACAAAAGCTGCAATTTGACAAATCCCGACAGCACTAGTCCTCGTTGCGGTAGGAGCAGAGCTTCTGTGGGGACTGACCGTATTCTCCCCTGTGTGCTGCACCAAACTCTTCGGGACTCAAAAAAAAACCAACAAAAAAATTGTGTTGTGAACCATTTGCCTTTCCGCTTAGTGCTAGGAGCTGTAATGCCACCTACTGATGGCTCCGCATAGTGGCCTCAAGGTCCCAGCCCGCTCCCTTCAAAGGAAAGCCAGGCGGCCACCGCAGCCGTGCCTGTGGTGCGGAGGGCAGGAGGGAGGCTGTGCTCAGCTGGTGGGCTGGTGAGGACCTGGCAGACTATGCCTCCTTCAGACACGGCAAAATTGGTTTCGCTGATAGTTTACAGAAGTTCTTTTTCGAGTTTGTTATCCCTACCCCCCTATTAAGTATTTCAGCAAAAAAAATAGCAGCAACTGAGAGAAAACTTATCTTTGAAGCATTTGGGTTTCTTCTGTCTTCTCTGAAAGCATTTTGAACCCTCTTCCCCCTCTGTTTTTCATCATGTTCCATACTTTTCTTACAGTCCTACTGTTAGCATCCCGTGCTGCCTTACACGTCCAGACAGCCCCCATTCTTTTGCAAAGCTAACTGGGACTGAGGTGGAGCAGAAGCTTCAGAGCTTTTTCTTACAGGTACCAGTGAATGATTTTTATGGCATTGTTCTTCCCAAAAGACGATAGTCCTGGCAGGTTGTTCATGAAAGAACAGTGTATTTCTAAAACAAATGATCACTGTCCCTGTAAATTTATTAGAAGTTTCCAATAGCAGCCTACCAAGAAACAGCAAAATGCTCTCAGCCAAATGACGTTTCTTAATTTTGTAACCTAAATACTTAAAGGATAACAAGGTAATTCCAAGAAGTGACAGAAGCAACTCTGATCACCCTTTCTCTCAAGACCAAAAAGCCAGAACCACAAGTATTCAGATTATGGCAAAGTTGTTTCAGAGGACTGTAGCAAATCCACTATGCATTCCATACCACAAGAACTAGAGGACAGAATTATGAGAAATGGAAGAAAAATGACTGCCTCCTTCTCACACACCAAAAGCACCACTGTGAGCAGAAGCTCTTCAGAATATATTGTATATTGTTTCATTTGGAAAGCAAGAATAACATTTTCAGAAAGAAAAGAAAAGAAAAACGACAGAGACAGCACACCTTCCTTCTTCATCCAGCCCCATTCTTGCTGTGCTTCGAAAAAAGATGGAAAGAGGAAAGAAAAAAAAATAAATAAATGGTTGCAATGAAATGTAACGAATTCCGTATTGTCAGTCCTGCAGATGTGGTAAGAAGCATCACTCTACCATTCTACTCACAAATAGTATTCTTTTTTAAGAAAACACTAGGATTTACCATATAAGTTTGTAAAAAGCAGTATTAGTATTGTACTCAAGAGTCAAGAAATGGAGGCGCTAAAGTGGTAAAATACCCCCTCAATTACATCCGTAAGATTTAAAATTTTTAATGTGCAAGTCTAGGACAGAAATCATTAATTTACAATGCACTAAAATTTGAAGGATGGGGGCTTCTTAATTGTACATGCTCACTGTAGTAAGTGAAGTGCTCAGTTGCTGAAGTACAAAAATCAGTATGCTCAAGTGACTTATGCTTCATTTTTAAGGCAAAAATAGGTAACAACACAACTGCATACAGTTGCAAAAATATTTACAGATATGATTAGATAGTTCAGTTCACTTCTAGCATGAAAATTTTAATGATGTACTTAATATAGCAGAGTTTTATTTGAAAATTCCCATTAAAAATGTAAAAATCTAGCTAGGATGAGTAGCACTCACATTTTTACCTGGGCCTCCACACTCACCGATCTTTGTCCCTAAACCTCTGTCACTGTAAGCTGTCCTCTCTCCCTGCCCATTTCCAGTCTTATTACACAGGCGCAGGTGTGCCTGAGCAGCCCCAGAGTCCACAGGTGAAAAAGCTGGAATGTTAAAAATGTACGCAAAAGGTCCCAACCAGAAAAAAAGAATAAACAGATCCTGAGAAATAAAATTACTGGGGGGGTGGAAAAAAAGCCATCTGCAGGTATCAGGAGGTTCGCTTAGTCATCCTTGTCTTTTGCTCCATGTTTCAGGATGCGCGTGAATTCAATGTAATTGAAATTCCCCTTTTTGTCGATGGGTGCCTCTCTGTACAGCTCATCTACCTCTTCGTCTGTGAACCTGTCTCCCATTGTCGTCAGCAGCTCTCGCAGGTAGTCCTCCTGAATGAACCCTAGAATGAGACGTATAGAGAGAAACACAAAAGGGAACCCATTTCTTAGCCCAGTCTTCAAAAGCAGTAAGACAGACATACTGACAGACAAGCAATTCACTAATACAGCATGTAATATATGCATTTGCACCAAGAGCCCCAAATACTTTCTTAATTGAATTCTAAAGAAATTCCTTTATTGCAAAGGGGAAGGGAGGGGAAGTCTGATGCATTTCATACAAATTTTTGAAAAGAGGGCCTGATCTGCTGTGATCTAATAATACCTATTTCCATCTACTGATCTTCAACAGCTCAAAGTAGAAAAACAAGTTCCTGTCACTGCTAGTCTTAATTACACAAGTTGTTCTCTTAATTTAATTATATTTTTCTTGACTTAATTAGATATATTTGTGAGTCCTCTATAAACTAGTTTCCTCTGGGGACTAAACAACCACTGGTTGGCTCCTCACTGCTGCACAATACTGTTGCTGGAGGCAGTTTACATGGATACAGTGGGCTGCTGGCAAGTGTCCAGGGAAATAATTTATAGCAGAAAAGACTTTCAGGCAGGATTGAGCAAGTTAACTCAGGAAGGAGGAAGAATGTTTAAGAGGTAGAGGTGGGGAAGCTAGTGAAAAAAAGGTAGGATATATGAAGTTATTTATTTTATGCTGAAATTTTAGAAGAAAAATTTGGAAGAAATTAACAAAGATACAAAAATGAGCAGTTCCTAAGTATGTTCTGTTAATTCAATTTCAATAGATAGGCAGAACCACCCGTTGCCAAATAATTCCAGGGAAGTTTAGAGATTAAAAAAGGAATGCACATAACAAATTGCCCAGGGAAGTTCTGGATGCCCCATCCCTGGAGGTGTCCAAGGCCAGGATGGATGGTGCTTTGAGCAACCTGGTCTAGTGGGAGGTGTCCCTGTCCATGGCAGGGGGGTTGGAACTACATGACCTCTAAGGTCCCTTCCAACACAAACCATGCTATGATTCTATGAAATGGTAGACATAAGAATGCAGAAACTGCTTAATGTTTAAATAATACCTAGCATGCCTTTAAATGCACAGTAGTTGCTTCATTTGAGAAATAAATTGGTTATTGAACTTTAGTTGGAGAACTATCAATAACAGAACAGAGGAGGTAGAAGTATGTTCCAAAAGAAAGATATGTAAACTGTGCAGAATAGCTGGATATAGTAAGTAGACACGCACATCAACTGATGTAGATTCAATCAGAATGTGATTAAAAAGAAAAAGTTGTGCTTTGGAAGGAGAGTTGAATAACTTAAGCAAACAGTTCATTAGAGAGACAAAACCAAACAAGGAATCAGGGGACCAAAAGGCAGGCAATGAGCATGATAAATTATCATGGGGTTGGTGTATGCTGCAGGGAAGGGGGAAAAAAAAAAAAAGTGTTTCAGCATATGCTAATTAAAACAGCATCATATCCCAGTGTAGACAAGCCCTTGACTACTGACTCCAAATGAAGGCTAACAGCAATGTTCTACTTAAAAAATGGGGAGAATGTTCAGTTAGCCAGGCCCATCTTAATCTGGTTAAATCTTGGAGTTGTCTCTTTGCAGATGTGCATAAAGAAAGGGAAAAAATAGCTAAAACAGATTAGGCTTTTTATTTCTGCAGTCCTACAGAGACCAAGTAGTGACGAGAGATGACATAAGAGTTAGTATTCAAAGAATGCAAGGCCTCTGGTGCTGCAAGTTTAGCCTCAAGAACTTAATTGCTTCCGTCTGAACAGCTAGGTGTTTAGACACTGAACTAGGTTGCCAAACTAGGAATACACTAAAAGTTTTAGCAGCACCAAACTGTAAAGCAAACAGTACCCCCACTCTCCCTCGCACACAGCTTCAATGTAGTTGGGGAACAACAAATTAATGAAGCAAAATTTAAGATTCAGCACATGGCATACAGCACAAAACAGATGACAATAGAGGATCAAAGAGCAGACAAAAGATACACCAAATGCGGGCAGATATAACTTTTATACTAATTTTATACTACTACATTTGACAGTAACGCTGAAGCAATATACCCAACTAGATTGCCAATACAGGAAATGTAAGTAAAAACCAACAAGTACAACTAACTAATCCTCATCAAGAGGATTTGATTTGTATTATTCTCTTTCAAAAGAACTACACTGATGTAGAGCTAGAGAATCAGGCCCGTAACACACACAAAGAGTATGAAGGGAAAAAAAAAAAAAAAGGTTTAACATAGCTGGAAATGCTTTTGTTCATTTTCAAAAGGAACAAACTGATCAGAAGCCAAATCTGAGAAAAAAATGAATGAAAGGCAAACATAACATGGGTTCTACAAATACATCACGCGTTATTTTGAAGACTGCATTTTGACTATTATGAATCAAAAATCAATAAAATAGCGTAACTATCTAACACGTTTCCTGGTTAAAATTTGAGGATGGCTCACAACACAAAAGAGACTGTGGGACCATTATCCTCAAATCATCCTAGGACTAGACTAAAACATTTACCACACAGAGTTGAAAGATAATAAAAATCAATCTTATCAGTACATGGGGGCCTGAACTAGTAACTTATTGTTTACATAGAAGTAGAAGGTTACTGTTCAAAAGAACTGGAAGCACAATCATTTTCTTTATATCCTAATTCACAGGCTCTTGTTTTGGAGCACACAAAAAACCCCTGTAGCACAGTGAGTCAGACTACCTGTGGAGCAAAAATAATTAACCTACTAACAAAACTTCCTTCTCTAGGAGATGGTAAAGAGATTTCCCTTGAGAGGGAGGAAGTCAATTAACATTTGAAAAGG